GGGGAATTGTTTTTCAGCTCCCCTTCTGCAGGGGCTTTCTGGCATAACAAACTTCCACAAAAAACAAGGTTTACTTGGTGCACCTCTTCTGCAGAGGCTAGCCCTCTATGAATGTGTTGCATGGATAACAAACTTCCACAAAAAACAAGGTTTACTTGGTGCACCTCTTCTGCAGAGGCTAGCCCTCTAGCAAGGATGAATGTGTTGCATGGATCCCTCTGATGTCTTTACGTGTGAGACAACCCCAAGCTATAGACAGCATGCCAAACTAATCATGCTTATTCTTCAGCATCTTCCAAACTTTGTGCTTGGCCAGGAGCATGATCTCCTCTTCTTTGGCCGTGTCCCCTGGCCTCAAATGAAGATCGTGTAGGACTTTGGATGCCAAGGCATCCAATTCCACCTTGTGGATTTCCTTGTGCCCAAAAGCAAAAATCTGGCCCACGCACTTCCCATTGTTAAACTTCTTAACACCAAACTTGTTGCCATTCTTGTAGTACTCCTTTCTGTAGTGGAAAGGGCTCTTCTTGCCATGCTCTGGCTGCTTCTTTGTCTTTAGCTTTGGGCTTTTGCGGCTTGAGGAGCTCGAGGAGCATGGCTCTTTTTCCTCTGCGCCTTGGCCTTGCTGCTTGCTTGCAGGCACTGGGGTGTGTGGTGCTTCACTTTGGAGATCTTCTTGCAAACCCTGAGCAGGGCATGGCTCATCCTCAGCAAGCCCTACCTCACCCTCAGCTGGCCCTGCCTCACTGGTCAGCATGGCAATGAGGGACTTCACTTTGGCAAGTGAACCAGATGATGACTTGGCAACCAGCTGCTGGCACTTCTCTGTGTTGTTCTTTGCCCTCCTCAAGTGGTAGAGCATGGTAGAGATCCTGTCAAACCTGCTTCCAGCCCAGAGTAGATTCTTCAAGCTGGTTTTGTTCAACTCAGGTTCCAAGCTCACCGCCTTCAGGATTGAAGCTCTCACCTGGGTCAGCAGAAGCTGGCCTTCAGGCTGAACCAGCAGCAAGCTCTTAAGCAAGTCAAAGTGCATGGCTAAACTTTCTCCATCTGCAGCCTGTGCTTTGCTGATGGTCTCATAGGCACCCAAGTCCTGCCAGCTTTTATTGCTGTGCAGGGCCATGTCCAGCACTGACTGGTCCAGTGGTGTCACCTGCTCCCTCTTTCCCATTGCGCCTATGTGTTGACTGCAAGATCTAGGCCAAACGCGGCAACTGCAGTTTTCAAACATCTGCAATATGATCTGATGCAGTCTGCCTCTTGGTCGCTGCCCATTTCTGAGGCAAGCAGCATGCCCTTTGATCTGTCCCCTTCTGCGAGCTGCAACCATTTCATAAACCTGCATTCATTCTAAGAAACCTTACAATCGAAAAAAAGATTGATATTTTGGTTGAAAAACACTTCAAAAAATATCAATCTTTTTTGGAGAAAATATCAATCTTTTCCTTCAAAAAAAATAGCTTAAAAAAACACTTAAAAACACCTAAAATATGCGAATATCAATCTTCATTTTCATGGATTGATTTTTTTTGATCCTGGATCCTCTGGGTGCTGTACGCTGGGAAGGATGATGCGGGGGCCCTGGATGCCTACCTCCATGCCTACAACCCGGGACTTGGGCAGGACATGCTTGGAGAGGAGTCTACGATGTGCTCCATGGCCATGGCGGGCAAGGTCGCCTTTGTGGGGGGCGGCCCCAACTGCAGGACGTGGAGCATTCTCAGATGGTTCCCCAAACCGGGTGGCCCGCCGCCGGTGAGGGGCAGGGCGGAGCAGACCCTGTGGGGCTTAGAGGACCTGGAGCCCCGGGTAATGGAGGACACGGACAACGACAGCGTGCTCATGCTCCGACAGATGTACCTGACCTCGCTGGCCTACCTGGGGCTAGGTCAACTAACGGTCCCGCAGGTGGGCTCCTCCTTCTTGGGGCACCCAATGGACCCAATGGAGTGCAGCAAGAGCCCGAGTGCAGCGAGGTGCTCATCTGGGTCACACGGGCCTACATTCAATGGGCGAACGCACTCCACCACTCCCTCATCAAGTTTGACGAGTGCCGCCTGGGTCAGGTGGTAGTGAAGTCCACGACATTGTCAACGGACCTTCCCCTTCACCATTGGCATGATCTGCGATGAGCTCACCCCAGGGGGGAAAAGCTCAACTCCAGTGACCTCAGCCGGTATCCAGAGCAGATGATGCAGGGCCTCGCAGCGGCCATCCTTTGCAGAGCGGGACCCGTCCTGGAGGCGCTGAGGCCGGGGGGCATGGTGCCCCAGGCGAACCCAACGACCCCCCCGAGGCGACAGAGGGAACCTTCTCCCAGCACGCCGGGGGACAACAAGCGCCAGTCCCGGAGGCTGGTGGCCGGCCAACAAGCGTTGGCGGGACTAACCTTGGGCTCACTTCCGGTCTCGGCATCAGACAGTCCGGAGGCCCGGACACCAGCACAGCCGGCTGGGGGGATGGTCGAACTTCGGGGGGGAACTCTTTCCCCTGAGCCATGGGCACGCCATTGCATGGAGATCTCGGATCGGCCCACCACCCTGCCGATCACGCACGACCCGAATCTCTCCGACAAGGTTATGTACCTCCAGATGGCCTTCAAACAGCGCCTCCTACAGGATGGGGGTGGGAAGCCCTCACTGGGACGGCTGGCCCCGTGGACTCGGCCACTGTCCAAAGCAGCAGTGATGGGGGGCCAAGATCTGTGTCCTCACTTCGCCATGGGGGGACAAGCTCGGAGGACCTGCTGGAGGATATCAGGGAGATCCTGGCGCCTGGGGCGGGCCGACCTGCTGAAGGCCAACCCTTCTTCCTGGACATCTTGCGCAGCGTGGCGCTGAACATTCAGGACCCCGACCACCAGTTTCCTCGGGATCTGGAACAAGGGGTCCCACTGGGGGTCACGGACCCACCCCTGGCCTCGCCGGGCATCTGGCCACTCAAGAAGGAGCTGAAAGGGGAGGAGCCGGAGTTCCAGGAACTCCCTCATCCCACGGGCCGGGGTAACTACCCGTCGGCGGATCACTTCAGTGAGCTCATCCGTGGCACATTCTTGGAGGAGGTCCCCATGCGCATGGTAGAGGGCCCCTTCACTAAGGTGGAGGCAGCATCGCGCTGTGGATGCGAGATTGAGGACCTTTGTCCCGGCCCCCTAGCGGGCATCGACGAAGGGGACAAGATCCGCACCATCTACGATGGCTCGGTGGGCGGGGCCAATGACACCATCAGGAACCAGACGGTGGAAAGGACAACGGCTCCGACGGTGCTGGATGGGGTACAAGCTCTTCATTGGCTACATGCGGCAGCTGCGGAGGGACCTCCCTCTCAGGGTGCCCCTGGCCCCGAGAGGGAGGTCGTCAAACCTCCACCTGGGGGCTGGCTATGGCCGGAGCCGGGCACCAAGTGGCAAGGCGGACGTCACCAAGGCCCACCGGAGAGTGAAGGTCCTCAGGAAGGACTGGCGGTTCCAGGTGGCTTCACTGGGGGAAGAATGGTGGGTGAACAAGGTCGGCACATACGGCATGGCCAGTGCCCAATCCCACTGGGGACGCCTGGCAGCTCTTCTACTCCGGGTCCTCTACGCACTTTTCCCTCAAGTGGATTGGAACTTCGTCTTTGTGGATGACTTCCTGTGGCTGCTTCGCAGTGAGGGGGCAGTAAACTTGGCGGTGGCGCTGTTGGCCACACTCCTGGCCTTGGGCACCCCGCTTAGTTGGAAGAAGACACATTTGGCGGAGGTCAACGTGGCTGGGCTTCGTGGTCCACCCGAACATCCCGCAGGTTCTCATGGCCGCCAACAAACACATCCTGGTCATGGAGGTCTTGCAGACCATGGTGGAAGGGCAGGCGATGCACTCAAAGGACATCGAGAAGGCCCTGGGCCGCATCCAATGGGCCACTGCTGCATGTCCGCTGGCGAAGTCGATGCTCCAGCCACTCTGGGCCTGGAAGATGGCCACCACCACGGTGGGGAAACCCCCCAAGGTGGTCAGGATGCTGGCGTTCATGCTGCGGTTCCTCTTCAACACGCCCTTCGTCCAGTACTCCCCTTACTTGCCGAAGTCCTCTTGGTGGGGTTGCAGCGATGCTAGCGCCTCGGACGAAGGACTGGCATTTGTGGGAGGATGGTGCTCCAACAAAATGGAGCCGGAAAAGAAGGAGGTGTACTGGTTCCACGAGCAGATCCACGCGGAGGAGTATCCTTGGGCATTCAAGAATGGGGATCCCAAGCGGAGGATTGCGGCTTTGGAAATGCTGGGCACGCTCTTCCTCTGTAACATGATCCTCACGCACCAAGGCCCTCTGTCCTCCCGGGTCCGACTCCCGGTGGGCAGTGACAATCAGGGCAACGTCATGGCTATGCTCAACCTTGGATCCAAGAAGCCCTACACCGCGGCTATCCTGATGGAGCTGGTCTTCCTGCTCCACACCCATGGCTGCTCGCTGGCGGCCAACCACGTGCCCCGGGAATTCAACCAGTGGGCTGATGAACTGACGCACCCAGATTTCTCTGGGTTCGACCCTTTGAACAGGGTCCCCAAACAGGAACTCTGCGAGGAGTTCATTTTTCTCCCGCGTCTCCTGAATGGAGATGCATTTGATCTTAGCGTGGGCCCACCCATGCTCCCGTGACTGGAGCCGGTGGGTGACTCAGCCTGGGTGCCACGGGCCCCGGCTCAGGGGCGGGCGCTATCAGTCTGCACACCCGTTCTGAGAGTTTGAGGTGGGTGGCCCGTGGGGCCCACCCAGCCGTTGACATCTGACAGGGGAAGATGAGTCCCTGGCACCAACACATTGCTCGGATAAAAGAGTTATCGCGTGCTTGTGTGGTGCCGTTTGGTTAGCTTGCATACACAGGGGTGTGTCCTTTATTCCCACTCCACGGGCAGCCCTTTGTTGGTGCTTGGGAAACCAAAAGGCAAGCCACATCTGTTTGCTTTGCAGACTCATTTTTTGCCACAGCTCCGATTCGAGCCCGGGAAAAGACATCCGCGGTCCAGGTGGACAAAATCATCGAGGCCGCCCGCAAGTCCAGCGAGGCGTTTTTTTTTGCCGCTTCCTGCGGGCTGCAGTGGGATCGGATTGTCTCGGGAAACCCTCGTGGGCATAGGTGTCCGTTTTTGGTCGTTTTGGTAGAGAAATAGATGGCGCATGATGGCGATTTCCGGTCTACCTGGCGGTTTTTGCTCATCTGCCAGGGAAGCCCGTCTATTTGCCCTGAAAGGACACCTATGCTCATGGGTGGTTTCCCCAAATTTGTCGTGTCTTTTTTTTGTTTGCCTGGAAAATATAGCCTAAAAACAGTGTCCTCAAAGAAGGACTGAGCAAAAGCTGGAACCTGGACTTTGACTCCCCAAGTTCCATGGGCTGGCGCGTACTTCCCTTCGACCCTGTCCTCTGGCGATGGCAAAGACCCAGAAACAGGGGTACTTGCCGGGGAACTGACAAACTGAACTGACAAACTGAACAAACTGAACAAACTTAGTATTCAAAAGCTGAACAAAAGAAGGGGAACTTCGAGGCCCCCAATAGACGGGTGCACATGCCCCGCATAGAATTTCTCTAACGAAGATCTGAAGAGCGGCGGCTGAGGTGACTCGCGGGCACACATGCCACCAATTTTGAAGAATGTTGAAGGGGACAGGCGGAGACTACCACAGCAGGTGTATCGCGGGTGCCCAGGGATGATACAGTGCTGCTTGGCGCCTGGACTTCCCTTTTGCAGATGAAGGTTAGCAGCTAGCAGGGGTCAGTCCCAACCCAAAGAAGATAAGTGCGTTGTTTTGCCCTTTTCAGGTATTCTTTAGGTTCCACATGCTCCCCGCCTTACCGTTTCAGGCTCTGGCCTCGCCCCCCCGAGCCCCCCGCCTTGCCGAGCGCGGGGTGCGTGCGTCACCGCGCCTCTCACCGCGCGGTGACAACGGCAAGGTGGGCTTCGTGACCTGCACGCAGCTGGTGAGCAAGATGAAGAGCCGGTTCCAGATCGCCACCGGGGCCGGCAAGCTGGACCAGATGTCCGGGACCCCGGAAAAAGCGAAAAACAGGAGAGAGATGGGAGCCGGGGGGCTTTTGAACTCCACTAAAGCGTTTAATTTTGGTGGCGCCCAGCCATCCGATCCCTTAGCTTGGCTTTTTTGTGTTTAGTGGTTGGCTTTCCATTCAGCCCGTGAGGACTCAGTGGAGATCGGAGCCGGGGGATATCTCTCGTGGAAGGGGAAGCAACTGTCGGATCTGGTTCATCTTTCGGCGGGCTTCATTTGTCCAGAGGGAACTCTGTTTCTGGCTGGATTGAAAGGGACACCCATTCTCCACACGAACTGTTCATCTGGTTTCCCGTTAAGGAAACCGGGAGATGGCTTCTTTCACCCGCGGCCGAGGAGCTTCTGATATTTTTGGCCACGCGCCGAGCTTTGATCTAGTCTCCCCAGCCACCCCCAAACAATCCAGGCTGCGGGAACTAGACATGCCAAAGGAATCCCCCATCGCGTTGGACGCTGGAAAACCTCATACTGAGAATGGCAAGCTATCTGCCGAAGATGTGTATGTATAAACAACATGTATCCGTATGAATATATACACACATACCTACCTACCTACCTACCTACCTACCTACCTACCTACCTACCTACATACCTACGTACATTCGTAAATTCGTGCCTACATAACTACATACCTACATACCTGCATATTTACATGCATGCATGAAGGCAAACATGCAAACATGCATACATGCATACATGCAAACATGCATACATGCAAACATGCATGCATGCACACATGCACACATACATGCATGCATGCATGCATACATGCATACATGCATACATGCATGCATACATACAGGCATGCATGCATGCATACATACAGACACACACACACAGACATACATACATACATACATACATACATACATACATACATACATACATACATACGTACGTACGTACGTACGTACGTACGTACGTACGTACGTACGTGCGCACCTACGTACCTACGTACCGTACGTACGTACCTACGCACCTACGTACCTACGTACATACGTATATACGTACATACGTACCTACATTCCTACATACTTACATGCCTACAGTGTAAGTGTGCATGTGTGTATGTGTGTCTGTATGTCTGTCTGTCTGTCTGTCTGTCTGTATGTATGTATGTATGTATGTATGTATGTATGTATGTATGTATGTATGTATGTATGTATGTAGGTAGGTAGGTATGTATGAATTTATGTATGCATGTCGGTAGGTCGGTAGGTCGGTAGGTTGGTAGGTCGGTAGATCGGTCGGTAGTACGTAGGTCACATACACACATATACACATACACACACACATACACACATACACACATACATACATGCATGCATACATACATACATACATACATACATACATACATTCGCCAGTGCTTCCCTGCAATGATGACGATAGGCGTGAGTTGTAATTGGCCGTAAGCAGCGGTAGATTCAGCCCAGAGTCAGCTCGAAGTCCACGATGTGTTGTCTTATTTAATGCTGGGATTTTTTGTTCACGAACCCCAAAAAAGGGTACCCCCCCCCCCCCCCCCCCCCCCAAATATAGGTGGCTTCCTCGTGGTTCTCTTGAACTACCCAACCAAAGCTGCACCCCACCAAAACCCACGAGACAGCCTTCATGCTGATTGAAGGCTGGGCGGTGGCATGGAGAGCTGCTCCATCACCGAGATCTTCGGAGAATTCAGGCGCGGCGCACGGCGCGCGGTTTTGGGGCCAGCCGTTTGGAGGGCTGGCTGGAGTCGAGCAGAAGATTGGTATAGCTAGGTCCCCCAGTAGTGCCCTTTGACCCTTGTTTTGGGGGAGGGTTCCCCTACTAAATAGACTACAGAAAAAAGTTGGTACCCTTATTCTAACCTCGCTACTGGAGGACCTAGATATGGTGCTACCCTTCCTCCCACTAACATGGCACGTGACGTGGAATTGGTTCCTCCAAGAGGAAAATTATATGTATATATACGTATATATTTATGCATATGTATTCTAGCTAAAACTACCCTTCCACAGGTGTCGTGTTAGTGGCAGGAAGGGTATTTTATTGTTGAGGATGAGAACACATATTTGTTTAGGTGTACCCGGGTCACCTCCAAGTCGGGCTATTGAGGGGGCTGTCACCCACAAATTAAATCATAGTTTACCCCTCAAGGTCTTGTTAAGGGTCCTGGACTCATCCAGGAGCATATCCCCGTCCTGATGCTGGCACGCTGGGGACAGTTTCAGAAGTGTACTCTCTGGTTCTAGTTCGGGGCTGAAGTGCAGGAATTCCACTGGTTTGAGCGTGGTGCAGAAATGAAGTACCAGGGAAGTCACATCTAGCCTGGTGTCAGTTTGAGTCGCCTGAAACGAAAAGAAGCCAACACTTGTTAAACATGTTGGCAACCCTAGACACGCCAGCTATGATGACATCGGCAGCTTATCACGGGAGGGATTAAGCAAACCACCCAAGGTCCAAAGTGTAATGCCCGTGGGATGCTTCGGAGGCCTGTGGTCCATTTGCCTCCTGTTTTGAGACATATCCACCACACAGTGAAGACACACATATGTGTTTTTGGGGTATCCATTTTGACGGTTTGCCCAAGGATCGGCATGTAAACCCTTTGCTCCTCCACCCAAAGTGTTGGTCATTTTGTTTGCAGTTTTGGCTGAGAAAGTCGTGATTATACTGAGCGCTGTTTCTCAAGCCAAAGGGTTGCGTTGCGTGACAAGGGTTTTATTATTAGGGTTCTGGTCGGGCTCCCTTTTTTTTCACCCTCCGAACTTGTTTTTTTAACCCTTCCTTTTTTTTCAACCCTCAAACCCTGCTTGGGAACCGTCGGCGGGAACCTTTTTTCTCCAACCCTGAGAAATCCTTTCTTTTCAGCCCCTCACCTTGTTTTTTTCACCCTTTGCCTTGTTTTTGTTCACCCTCCGCCTTGTTTTTTCCACCCGCGAGCTTGCTTGTTTCACCCCGCAACCTTGTTTTTCTCACCCTAAACCTAAAACAACCTAAGCCTGCCCCGCACCCAACCCAACCCAAACCAACCCTAGGCCCGCCCTAAGCCAAACCTTGCGAACCCTCAGTATCTCTAAATCCATCTCAAACCAGCCAAACACGCCCAAACCCACCCCAAACCCACCCTACACAACACTAAACTGCAAGCAAGCCAGAAACGTCTTTTGTCCAACCCTAAACCCACCGCAAGCACCACAGACCTTCTCGAAACCACCCTAAAGCATACATAACCCACCCCTAACCAATCCCAAACCGACCCTAAACCAACCCAAAACCAACAAGCCAGTCCTGCACCCACCCTAAACCCACCCTACACGAACTCTAAACCCACCCGAACCTTGATCCAATCATAATCCCACCCCACACCTTAAGCTTAGCCGAAGCGAACAATAAACCCACCCTAAACCCGCCTAAACCCCAATCCCACCCTAATCTAGCCTTAATGCAACCCTAAGCCCAACCTAAACCAACCTGAACAGACCCACCGACCCAAAACCAACCCTTAACCCGAAAACGACCCTAAGCCAATCCTAACCCAATCCTAAACCCACTCTAAACCAGCTTTAACCAATCACGAACCACCCCGAAAACCAACCTTGAACTCAAGCCCAGCGAAAACCAACCCTAAACCAACCTTGCACCCACCCTAAACTCACCCAAAAACAACCCTAAATCCCCACCCTAACAACGCTAAACCCACACTAAACTCAAAACCAACCTAGCCCGACACCAACCCTAACCAACCCTGAGCCACTCCAAAGCAACCTTAAACCAACCATAAGCCCACCCTGTACCAACCATGAACCCATCCTGATCCAACTCTAAGCGCACCCTGAGACTCTAAGCTGAGCTTGGCCCAACCCTAAATCCCTAGGCCAGCCGCAAAACCAATCCACATCCAAGCCTAAACCAACCCCAAACCCCGCCCTAAACCATCCCAGACCAACCCTGAACCAACCTATATCCACGAACAACATACCCTTAAACACCCTAAGCCCACCTGAAATCAAGCCACCCCAAATCAACCCTAAGCCACCCTTGAGCGACCCCAAGCCTCCCCTAGCGCAACCCCAACTCCACCCTAGACATAGACAAACCGTAAACCCGCCCTGAACCAACCCTACACCAACCCTAAGCCAACCCTACAGCCACCACAGACCTACTCCAGACCACCTAAACCAAACACAAACCCACCGAAATCCTGCTCTAAATCTACCTAATCCAACTCTACACCCGAAGCCGACCCCAAACCCACCTCAAACAGATTCTAAGCCAACACTAAATCCACCCTAAATCCACCCTGAAGCCTTTCGACACACGCCCTAATCCCACCCTAAACTAACACCATGTAAATCCAACATTAATCCCAAGCCTGACCTCACCCTAAACCCATTCTATCCCGCCCCTGAACCAACCCTAGATCCATCCTAAACCCGCTGTAGACCCATTCTCCAAGCCCAAAACCACCCTCATCCAACTTTAAACCCACCATATACCCAGCACAGACCTGCTCGAAACCAACCTTAAACTTAAACCGACCACAAACTTGCTCAACAAACCCTACCCCGCCTCTAAACCCTTAAATCCACCCTTCCCATCCGAAACCAACCCTAAACCCACCTACCACCCCCGCCCGAACCCACCCTAAACAAACCCTAAATCCAAAGCCGCTCCTAAACCAACCCAACCCTGGACCGTTGCTTAGTGCAGTTGCCGCAAACTTCGGCCACAGGGTTGGCAAAAAAGAAATGGAGTGTTAAAAGGAAGAGGTGGAGGGCCAGAAAGAAAGGGGGGAGGGTTAAAAAAGAAGGGGGGAGGGTTAAATAGAAAGGATGAAGGGTTGAAAAAACAGGGAAGGGTTGAAAAAAAAGGTTTGGAGGGTGAGAAAAAAGGGTTCCCCGTTCTGGTTCCCTTCAGAAGGTCTCTTTTTGAGAACAGCCAGGGTTCCTGTTAGTGTGTTTGTTTTTTTTGGAAATAAAACAAGAGCAGCTTCCCTTCTAAAGTTCTTACTCAATTGCATGTTGAGCACTTTTTTGCAAAGCAGTCTGAAACAAACAGTTCTGGCCCCAAACTCGGGGACCTAATAATAATAACAACAACACCGTTTTGTTGTGTTTTTTAGCGGGTGTGGACGGTTTAGTATTGGGGAGAAAGGATTACCTTCTCTTCTCTCAAAACGGACACATGTGGCCAGACCCTCCAAAGTGAAGCACACCTCAAAACTGCCGTTGTCATATCCTCGTCATGGCGTCCGATGATTACTTGGTTCGTGGCGTTTCACAAGCTCTTCAATCTCACCAAATTATTTCTTTGGATCCTTTGGACATGCAGGATACTACCTCTTGTTTTGCGAGGGATACAAGGATTCGGCCGCATAGGTCCAAGAGTGGGGATGCAACAAGTGACCCTCAAAGGCTCAAAGGCCTAGTATGTTGTAGGTACCTTTTGGTCCCATCCAAGAGGTGTTTGTCATGTTTTCGTTTTCTTGTTTGTCCACGTTTTTGACGGGTCCCGCTTCGCATCATCATTTTTTGTTAAGAATTGTGGACCCCGAGCTCCGCCAAACCGCTCGCTCCTGCGGGGTTTTTGGGTGCAGGTGCGGCAAGACTCAGCTCTGCCACTCTCTGGCAGTGATGGCCCAGCTCCCGTCCAACATGGGGGGCGCCAACGGCAAGGCCAGACGTGAGTGAGTGAGTTCCAGGGCTTGCAACGAAACCCGCCGCGGGCGTTTTTGGTTCTGTTCATTTGGAGTGGGACTGCAAAGAGAAACGCTGTATTCCTCGCTAAACGTTCGCAGTTCGAGGGATGTTTTCGGATTGGGGATTTCTTGGATGTCTTACTGGAAGCCAACAACCCTCACTCCACGCGGCCCCATTTCCGAGTATTTGTTCAAGCCCGTCCAGGTGTTCGTGTTTGGTTTCCTTTTGGACTTCCATGGTGTGCAACTTGAGCAACGTCCACAATATCAGCCACGGTTTGTTGCGGCGGAGGTCGGGTTACCCTCTGACTTGTGGGGAAACCAACCCTAAGCGTCCCCATTGATTTTGAACCCACCAATTGGTTTCCAAGGGCCCCTGAGGGGTCGGGGTTCTCCATTGGAGGGCCCGGAAATTTCGAGAAGCCTCCAATGTACACAGAACATGGAAGCCCCGAAGGCCTCCATTCCGTCGGCAGATGGGTCACCAAGTCCATTCGGGGTCCCTTGCGGGAGCTTCCCTTCGGCTCGTCTGGGCACACTTTGCCCAGTTGACTCTCAATTGAAGCTGAACCCGCCTGATCCTCGGATCACCTGTGACCATTTCAGGGCTGCAACCCGCCTGATCCTCGGATCCCAACCTGTGATTGTTGTGACCCCTTGCCCAGAAATGCCGAATTATTTGCCGAGGTTTAAACCGCCCCAAGGGAAATTTGGGTTTGTCCAAACGCGGCCGGTGTCCCTTGACGTTTTCGCCAGTTGTTTTTTCCCCCTCTACAATTCCCTTGCTTCTTCGCTTTGTTTTTGCCCCTTAAAGCAAGCCCAAACCACGGGAGAGATCACTCGGGGCCCGCTGCCAGGTGGTGTACATGGACACCGAGGGCACCTTCCGCCCGGATCGGATCCGGCAGATTGCGGAGGCCAAGGGCGTCTCTGCCGAGGCCGGCGCGAGCGCGAGCATGCGCGAGCGCCAGCCACCGGTGCGTGGTTTTTTGTTTTTCCTCCCCAAGCAGGTTGAGCGAGGGTCTTGTGTTTTTTTGAGGACAACCTTGTTGTGTTGTGTGGTGTAAAAGGGAGATCAAAAGGAAAGCCGCCATTCTGAGTGGCCCCCCGAAAAGAAGACACGCCCATGTGGGGGTTGATCATGGGGGTCCCCCCCCAAAATGGCGTGTGGGTGTTCTATAGTTTTATTTGAAATCAACCAAGAAAGGGTACCCTCAAAAACAGAAAGGGTTGATCAATTTTCCGTGAAAGGCTGCGGCAATGACCATGAGTAACTGTTCCTTTCTTTTTGGAAATCATTGTTTTTCCCCATGTCATCTCATGTAAAGGACCTTTTGGTCAACCACGTTACCCTGTTGCGCCCAACACGGGGAAACACATTGCCCTCTTTAAAGGGCCCTAGTTCTGGGTACCTCCTGGTACGAACAACAATCATTGCGATGGTGAAGTATCTACAAGTATTGAACAGCCCGAGTTGGAGTCCACTCCCTCGCGACTTCCGATCAAGGGCGCCAGGGTTTGCTGTTCCTTTCCTAGGTGCCCAATAGCTCAACGCCTAAGTTGTCCCCTTTTTCGGAAAGAAGGGGACGGATCAATCATGGATCTGATCAATCTCCCCATTTTCTTGCGACACCAAAAGGCAAACTTGTGTTTTTCTTTTCCCCCAGACCCCTGCCCCTTCCCAAGAAGCACGCGTGTGTGTGCTTTTTCCGACCAGACCGACCCTCTCCCGCCTTTTAAAGGCTTAAAGGGTCGCACGTCGCGTCAGGCGGCCATGGACAACATCATCTACGCGCGCGTGTACACCTCGGAGCACTTGGAGCAGTTGCTGGTGGAGGCCGCCTCGTTGATGGTCAAGGACGAGGACCGTGCCTCGAGCGAGAAACCAGTCGATCGAGTGAACCCGTCAACCCGGGGGTCTTAACTTTGGGGACCCCTTAAGCAAAAAGATGCGTGGTGTCCTTTTGGTTCTCCTGTAAGAAAGATGGCGACCCGGATGCTTGAAATGGCAAACAAATACACAAAGATAGCTGGTTTCCTTTTTTTGTTTAGTTTCCTTTTGGTTTCTATTTTGATATCGTGCAAAGGGTCCTTCAGAAAGCCTCGTTCGGGATGGCAAATTTGGTTTCCACGGCTGACCTGGTGAGAATTCAGCTTTCGGGGGTGGATGGTGCCTGGATTCAAGTTCCCAAAAGATTAGACTCTGGGAGCCTTGAATGTGTTCCTCCAACTCTCTCTCAGGTTCCATGTTTCTTGAGGGCATTCCGGGCAGCATAACAATTCTGAAGATCAGTTTCCTTTCCTTGCAACCTGTACCCTCTAGTTTCTTTTGGAGGCATCGGTACCCCATCAGGTGAGAGGGTGGATGATACAGTCGCTTGCAAACATGTCCTTAACATTGTCCGTCGGCTCCCCTTTTTGGAGTCCTTTTAGAAGCTCCGTCCAAGATAGTCCTGTTTTGAGATTCTCTGGGACACTCCTTTTGTGCTTTCCCGGCGCTGGGCACGAGTGGGTACAAGAACGGGCTTCCCTTTGTTTTCCTTGCACCGGCTGGAAAGACGCACGTTTGTGACACGCCTTTAGGAGACCCTTCTTTCGGCTCACGAAGTCGTTCGTGTTGGACCCCGCTTAAATCGCGGGGTCGCTATTATAGAAAGTGATTTTTCCTTTTTCAGGCTCCTGGGACTGTTTTGGGGTTTGCTGCTGTGGATGAACGAAATCCAATTCGCACCACTTTGAAACCATGAGAAACCATCGTTGGCTGGCATTTGCAGGGGAATCATATCATTCCATCGTTTCTGAACGGTGCCCAATTTCGTCCATGGACAGTATTCTGGACAGAGTTCCCCTCATGAAAAGACACACGAACCTACTCTTAAAGGGTGGCTTGTCTCGGCCCTTCCCAGAGGCCGAAGGCCAAACAATCACACAAAGGGGGCTGCCCACAAGAGCCCTGATCCTCTTTGATGTGATTGTTTTGTGATCCTCTTTAGTGGCAAGCTTTTTCCAGGTATATTTGTCAATTGTATATGTGTTTAAAGGGAAACCAACAGGACATCGACCATGATCGGCGTTCGCCCTTTTGGTGGTGTGAAACAACACTTGTTGGGCCAATTCAAAGTGGGTGATGTGAATAAAGGCAGCCCCGTGAAACAACGCATAGGGCGATGCGAGCAGAAAAGGATACAGGTCGGTTCTAAAGGACCAGCAAATGAATCACAAAGTGATGTTTCCGAAAAGGAAGAACTAAGAAACAAGCTCCAAAGCAGGAAATAGTTGATGTTTCTTAAACTCACTTCCTGAGTTCATGAACTTTAAACTTTTTGGGAAGACCATTTTAGTGGTAATTGTAAAGTTTGAACTTTTTTTGGGCCATCCACTCAGCCAGTGAGTAAAGGAGCAACTAAGCTCAAAAGGGGGCAAGACTTCGGGACAGCCCAGGCTTTGCGCTGGTCATCGTGGACTCCATCATGGGCGGCTTCCGCGTAGACTACTCCGGCCGTGGGGAGTTGAGCGAGCGGCAGCAAAAGCTGGCGCGACCCTCGGCGTGAAGCGAAGCTGGAAGCCGCAGTTTTTTGTTGGAGGTACTGATAGTACTGGCAGTCGTTTTTGTTTTTTGTGTGTTTTTGTTGGCATAGTACTGGGTCGATATTTGGTACCATCCTACCATCCATGTTGAGTTGGGAATGTTGAATATTCCCTCTCCCTGGCACTGGAGTGGTTTGGAGCGGCTCCGCCGCAAACCACCTAGGCGTGTGCATAGTAGGGGTGGTAGGGGGTGGCTTACCATGACTCTCATGTATGCAATTTCAATCTTTCTTCTACTGGCTTCGCTGTTTTAGGCCCGTGTAGTTTTTTTTTTTTTTTTTTTTTTATTTAAGAATGATAATTCAATTTCGCAAGGGATCAATTTCGGATTTCAGCTAGGACCATACTAGTCAGGTGTCGGCCACCTCTTGAAGGGGTGGATGCTGTTATGGTATGAGTCGGTTCTTTTGATATGCAGGGTCCTCTAAAAATCATGGGATCAATCCCAAGTTTGCATTCGGGGCGGTCAAAACGCCCTTTTACTCGGGGATAGTGACCTGATACGGGTGGTGGTCCACCCTGGGAATTTAGACACCGCGGGAAGCAACCACAAAATGGGGGAGGGGAACTGCCCTTTAAATGGCCCTTTAAACGAAGAGATGAATTCAGTAGCACATGGGCCAAAACCCCAAACCCTAGTCCAAAACCCAAAACCCCAGGGTTTCGGCTTTGAAATTGGGGACGCTAAACATGGCGGTGTTCCGTTTTGTTTGTTTTGAAGCAACGACACTGCACATGACTGCTCGAGCTTGGGCTTTCGGCACTGTCGAAGCAATGGGCCATGTTGGATCACCCCAATCACCCCAACATCCCCATTTGTCAATCTTATCAGGTGGTTCTACTACTGTACTTTTATATATATATAATATATATATATATATATATATCGGTTTATGCCACTGCCTGTACAAACCGCGCTGACCAAACATGATGTTTGCAGACCGACCCATGCCTGAAGGTACCCCACCATTGCATGTGGGCATTTTTCCGTGCAAGAAACGCCACACTGGATCCCATGTTGTGTTGCAATTTGCGGGCGGCCGGAGCCTGATGCAAGGAGTGCTGAACAAGCTGCAGAAGGTGAGCGAGGACAATTGCATTCGCCAAACATGTTCATCTTGCTGCACTTTGGCCATGTCACTGGCTCTCAGGCAGTGCTTTGCTGCAAATTGCCCAATCAACTGGCGCAGCACTGGGATGCAGCTCGAATTCCTGCAGACCTCCCACGGTTCGCAAGCTGTTTGTTAGCATTTCGTTTTTCGCTCAGTAGCATGGGAAATCAGCGTCCAAGTTTGGATCTTGGCAAGCAGGAAGCCACAGGGCAAGGGACAACATGCTCTTTTGTCCAGAGGGTAGTGCGATGATTCCATGACTTCCATTTGCTTAGGAATATATTATGTTCCCCTGTTGGTTTTAACGGGAATCGAATTTAAAGCATATTTTTCCCGAGGGCGCCAAAAGCACATGGAGGATGCCGGCGCCTTTCGCCTAGGAGTTCAACGTCGCGGTGGTGCTGTCGAACCAAGTCATGGCCGATGCAGGCGGGGCCCCGGGGCCGGTTTGGTCGGAAGCCATCGAGTGAAAAGAGGTGCAAACGCAGAGACCCTCGCTTCCTGGGTTCTTGGACTTTTTTGGGGGGGAAAACCTTTGCAGTGATAAACAGAAAGTTTGGACTTTTGTGGGGCCATCCACTCGGGAAGCGCAGAGACCTAGGTGTCACTTTTGGGTTCTGTAGAAATATGACCTGTGGCCCTTTGGTTACAAAGGGAGAGACTGGCTTGCTTTTTGGGGCTTTGAACAGGAGCTTGACTTTTTTCCCTTTTTGTCGTGCAGATGATGATTCTTCAGAGCTGGTTGCATCCGCAGAATCGAGGGCTAGGGGGCTCGTCAGAGGAGTCGAGTCCTGCATTCTCAATCAGGGTCTGATCCAACCATTGACAAGCAAGCAAAGTTGATGACATATAGGCATAATCCCTGAAACAAAGGCGATGGCCACTTCCTACTACGTGAGCAGGCAGCACATGATGTGACATCTGCCTAGATTCGCATGCCGGCATCTTATGAAAAAACGAAACAACCAAAACAACACATAAGGGATGGTAAAGGCCCTCCAAAGCGGATGGTCATGGATGGTCAGACTTTGGGGTTGGGACCAACCGCCGGGGTGTTGGACTCCTTTTGGTTTCAACTAGGAGGGTCTGCTCGCCGGCTGCCGGGTGCCCTGTTAAAGCCTGACGGAGTAGCTCCAAAGCCCCTGTAGGTCTCCTTTTACCCCCCCTTCCCCCCTCAAACCGGGTTTCCCATTTCGATGTTTTTTGTTTTTGTTTTCTTTGGTTTTCCGTTTCGTTTTGCGTTTTTTTCCCAGAAAACGACTCGGAGCCGGTGGGAGCCGCCTTTCCCCCCCACTCCCCCACCTTGCCGGGCGGAGAGCTCCAGCGAGGCGGTGGCTGCGCCTTCATGCCCAGCCACCCGAAGCCCGTGGGCGGGCACATCTTGGCGCACTTCTCTACCACCAGGATCATGCCCCGCGGCGACCAAACCAAAAAATGCTTCCCCCCATGGAAAGAATGGAACTGGAAATGGAAAACCTCCCCCCACTGATCCCTGGAAAGAGGGGGAAATGGAAGCTACCCTTAGAACCTTCCCCCATGAAACCCTCGGCAAACCCATGAAACCTGGTGGCTGGTCATTGATTCCCATGGATCATGCCACCCACAAAAACCTTCCATGAAACCCTCACTCCCTGAGTTGGAACTGGTTTTGCCCGCTCGTCCGCGGAAGTGAGGGGCGGGCGACCAAGCACCTTCCTAGCGGTTGATTTTCAGCCAGCGATTCTTTTTCAAGAAAAACCGATGGCCGTTTCCCCAGGGTTTTTGGTGGTTTTCCAGAAAGATCCGGATCCCTGGGTTCAGAATGGAAATGGAAGCTACCTCTAGAACCCTTCCCCCATACAACCCTCACTCCCCTGAGTTCACGGACTTGGCCAGTAAACTCAGGAAATGACTTGGGTGTTTCAGCACTTGCTGGCGCTTGTTCCGCCATGATTGAAATCCCCTTGGTGCAGAAACCAAAGAGCAGGGGGTGATGGGGCAGGTCCTTTGCTGAATTGCTGGGAGGGGGTTTTGTGGCTTCCGCTTTTTGCAGGAGGGCGGGAGACTTATTGCATGGGGCATTAGTCATCAAGCCCAAAGGTGGAATTGGAAGGACTTTGTTCCCTTGGCTGCCTGGTGTGCGGATCTGGTGTCTTAACACCTCGATGGTTGCCTTGTTCCCCAAAACGGTTGTGCTTTTCTGAACCAGCCACTGGGCACTGGGCCTACAGCAGATCCAAATGCATTGGGCCCTCCTCAAATTTTCCACTTGGGCGTCCTATTGCTCAAGTTGGCCACAACTTGTTTCAGAGGGCCACGGCAATTGCAGAATTGATGGCCATTGTTCAGAGGCCATTTTCAGAGGGCCGTTGTCTTTGTTTTTTGTTATCAACTGCAACCAAACAACCACGGACTTGTTTTTAGACACACCGCGCCCACGGCATGTCTTGTCGAGAAGCTATAAGGGTGGTTTCACGAAGGTTCCTTTTGTTTACAACATAAACCATAGTTTGTTGGCAAGCCGCTTCCAACACTTCCGCAAGCATTAGAGGGCAGACAAACGTATCTGAAAAACTTACTTCTGCGAATGCCTGTCAATGCAAATCAGTTTGAATGAGAGGGGCGAACTTGGCGAGACTTTCTCTTCATGGTTGTCAAGAGCCAGAACATGTCCCCTCCAAACTTGTCTGGAGCAGTGGAGACTTAGAAGTACTTGTTTGGTACAGTTTCGTGTTCTTGGGGCAGTTTCTGCGGAAATTGAGGGAGTGGACAAAACTTCAAAAGTGGATCAAGTTTGCAAAGTAGTGGCAACTTGGGCAGTGGCGGAATCATTGGCAATTGGCAACTTGTTTGGCTGTGTCATGCGGTGTCACACCTTGTAACTACAGCACATGTGTCAGGGCGTTGTTTCAATCAAGCCACCATGCAACAAAATAGGTGAAATTTGTGTTGCTGACATTCGGATTTAGGATAACTAACGGAGGCGTTGTCATTGATCTGGGTGTGTTTTACCATTTCTGTCTATGCCTCAACTTTTGAGTGCTCCCCTATTTTGACACAATCTGAACCTGGAAGCGGGAGCTTCGTTGCATTTGCATAGGAACCTAAGACGAAGCCCTCTCGAGTTTTGTTTGACATTGCCGATTCTTCCACCTGATATTTGTGCGTGTGTGTGTCGCTAAAAAAGCCCAACCACTGGGGTGCCCCAAAGCCCCGAAGTTCTCAGGCTGCGCAAGGGTCGTGGAGAGCAGCGTGTGGCGCCTCTTGGCCGATGGGTTTTTGTTCTTTTGCCCCGAGAGCCAGGCGCTCACATGCACCATTGTCACATGTTCCTTTGCCGTATGACCAGTTCAGGGGTCCCTATGTTTCTCAGGTTGGTGAGTTTTTACATCACCTTTTTCACCCATGGGCGAGCTTTCCCTGGTCTGGGTGTTCGTTTAAGGGGGATGTAGGATCTTGTTCTTCCGAGAGGAAATTGGAACCACGTCAGTGGGACCGCACATTTTGCCAATAATGGTAGTCTGAAGAAGACCCCGCATGGTAAAAGAACTGGCGAAACACCATGCTACTTGCGGTTAGTGACCGATATGGGTGGTCATCAACCTTCTAGTAAGCACGTAAGACAACTATTGGAAGATTTCCTACTGTTGCCAAAATACTGTGAATGGACGAAATCATGCACCCACTAAGAAACCCTGGAATGGTGATTCCCCAGTAAATTCCCAGCAACCGTGGTTTCCCTTGGTCTCAAAGTAGTGCGAAATGGATCTCGTCCATCCACCGTAGGGAAAGTCGAACTGTCCCAGTGTTCCTTTGGTCTCTTTTCAACCACAATCAGGCATGCGTGCCATGTTCAATTCGGGGCGGGCCGGGCAGCACTCCTTCAAGTGCTCGGTATTGTGGCCATCTGATGTCCCTTGTCTTGTTAGGTGGCTTAGGTGCAGAATGTCGCTGCAAGCATTTGTCTTGAACATTCGCGCGGCCTGTCCTGTGCATGTATTTTCCCTTTACGACTCTTATAGCCATGCCAGCTGGCCAACAAACAGCCGAAATTACATGAGCTAGCCCATGAAGGTCGTGTGCCTCGGCATTGCATTAGTTGATACTAGGTGGAATATGGGAATGTGTCAAGATAGTTTGCCCCAGAAATTGTGGGCGTTCCGCTGGAATTCCCGTGAGCCTTAAAACGCGCCCCTCAAGAGAAAACACACACGCACACCGTGCATGGTGGGGCAGGCTTACAACTGATGCTGTAGAACTTTGTTCACCTCTGGCCAGTTTCCAGGGATTGCGCTCCTTAAACGCGTGATACTCCAAGCGGGATAACTACTAGCAATCATCATCGTACCAAAGGGCCATGAGCTGGTCAGAGCGGCAAGCTGCTGGTGGCGAAGAGCCACCAATTGAAAGAAGACAGCTCACAACAGGCCCTTGCTTTAAGCGACCCATGCTTGCGAGCAAGGAAGATCTATGACTCCCCGTGCCTGCCTGAGAGCGAAAGCATCTTTGAGATCTACGGTGGTGGTGTGAGGACCGACTGACGGGGGACCGGGGGGCGTGTGCTTTGTGATAGGAGGCGCGTGAATGCATGCGGATCTGAAGACAGCATGTCACAGCTGGTCAATGAGGAAACTACGCAGAGGTTGCAATCTTGGGAACAGCCAATTCCTTTAGTCTTTTGGCCTTCCGCTATGCCCGTGTTCTCTCGATTTGTGGGACATTGAGGAGTTATATACCACTGTTATTGATTCGGGGCGGACGTGTTTGCACTGGGCAATTGCAACAAACGGAAAGCAACCCCCCCAAATAGAGTGCATCCGCGATGGGAGTCTGCCGCGGGTCAGTTTGCTATTGTGAGTTTTGCAGAGATCTTCGGGTCGCCCGAGATCCGCAGACTCAGAACCTTCTGAGAGCCTCTCTTGGGTGCTGGGACCCTTCAAACTTGGATATAGGGTTTACCCGAAAAAAGGTTCCGCAACTTTTGGGCGTCCACTTCACCGCTGGCCAGGAACGCCAGTGATTGAGGCATCCCTGGCAAGATCTTGCACGTGTGCGATACCAGACTGGTTTTTGCTGAGGGCCAGCGGACCAGTGGGCATGAGACAATCGACAACTTGCATGCAGAGGCAGCAGCTGAGCTTGGAACTGCGCCTTGCAGAAGCAACAGCAATTCACAGAGCTTGTTGCACTCAGGCGCCGAGCCTATGTTTGGTGGATCCGCCCGTAGCCGAAAGTGGCCAAATTTGTCCAGTTTTGTTTGTCTGGCAGCAGGTATGTAAGCGCAGCAAACGCCCTTTGCTGCTTATTTTGTGTGTGCCACTTCGGCCGGGCGAACATCACTTAGTAGGCCATGCCTGTCCCAGTTGCCCAGTGGTGCCTTTTTTTTCCATTTTGGGGGAGTGGTTCCCCTGTAAAGTCAACCAACCAAAAAAGCTTTGCCCCTCCCCTTAGCAGGACGGCCCGATTTTTGCACTCACTCCAATTGGGGGGGGGTCTTGAGCAATGTGGCGGAACCAACCAAAAAGGGATGCCCATGTGTTCCCATGGCCACTGGGCATCTGAGCTGAAGTTGCAGGCAAAATTCGTTTGTGTTGAGTCACTGGACTCCACGTCTGTCTGTCTTGCGGGCGCTGCAGACTCGTTGCATGGGGCGCGCCAGTGCGCTGAGGATGTTTGGGGGAAATGGAGTGGCAGCAAGTTGGACGAAAAATGCTTGGCTGCTTCACCTCATGTGCCTGGATGGGGAATTGTCCACATCTACATCACCAAGCTGCATTTAGTTTGAAGAGGTGGTTGGCAATTCACACAGGGAACACACACACACACAGACACATCACGCAATGCGATGCGGCAACTAAAACCTCTTCAGTTGCCCTGAGCGGGAATCAGGAGAAGTGCTGCATGGCCGCCGCCGTTGTGATAGACGTCTTCTTTGGGACCTCCAGGTAAGGAAATGAGATGACAGTGCAAGAGCCCGTTTTGGACAAGGGTTCTTGGGTCCGCCCTTGTTTAGGGAACCAACCATTTGCTTGGTTTTCTATGCAAACCAAACGGACGCCACTTTCTTGGACCGGGTGGGGGGGCGGGGGAGGGGGTCCGCTGTTGTGAGACAAAGTCTGAGGTGGCGCCTCCCGCCAAGGCCCGGCACGGGATTTGGGGATCTCTTTGTCCACGGGATTTGTAGAGAGAGAGAGAGAGAGAGAGAGAGAGAGAGAGAGAGCTATTCTACGTGGATCCAGGATCTGCCTTGTTTTGCGGGTGGGTCTGTTTTTTTTTGGGGGGTGGGCGGGTAGCATATTTGGGATTGGTTTAAAGCAGAGCGTTGGCAAAACGTGTCGTGCAAACCTGCTTCGCTCCGTTGCTCCGTTGCTCCGCTCCGTTCCCCTGTTGTTCCGCAAAGCTGTTTCGCTCCGTTGCTCCGTTGCTCCGCTCCGTTCCCCCGTTGTTCCGCAAAGCTGTTTCGCTCCGTTGCTCCGTTGCTCCGCTCCGTTCCCCCGTTGTTCCGCAAAGCTGTTTCGCTCCGTTGCTCCGTTGCTCCGCTCCGTTCCCCCGTTGCGCCGCAAAGCTGTTTCGCTCCGTTGCTCCGTTGCTCCGCTCCGTTGCTCCGCTCCGTTGCTCCGCTCCGTTCCCCCGTGGTGGCGCAAAGCTGTTTCGCTCCGTTGCTCCGTTGCTCCGCTCCGTTGCTCCGCTCTGTTGCTCCGTTGCTCCGTTGCTCCGTTCCCCCGTGGTGGCGCAAAGCTGTTTCGCTCCGTTGCTCCGTTGCTCCGCTCCGTTCCCCCGTTGTTCCGCAAAGCTGTTTCGCTCCGTTGCTCCGTTGCTCCGCTCCGTTCCCCCGTTGTTCCGCAAAGCTGTTTCGCTCCGTTGCTCCGTTGCTCCGCTCCGTTGCTCCGCTCTGTTGCTCCGTTGCTCTGCTCCGTTCCCCCGTGGTGGCGCAAAGCTGTTTCGCTCCGTTGCTCCGTTGCTCCGCTCCGTTGCTCCGTTGCTCCGTTGCTCCGTTGCTCCGTTGCTCCGTTGCTCCGTTGCTCCGTTGCTCCGTTGCTCCGTTGCTCCGTTGCTCCGTTGCTCCGCTCCGTTCCCCCGCTGTTCCGCAAAGCTGTTCTGCTCCGTTGCTCCGTTGCTCTGCTCCGTTGGCCCGTTGTTGCGCGGATCTGCCTCGCTCTGTTGCTCCGTTGCTGCGCTGCGTTGCCCCGCTCCGTTGCTCCGTTGCTTCGCTCGATTGGCCGTTTCTCCTAGAGCGAGTTTGGTCGTTTTAAGAGCTGAGTTCCCGATCGCTAACTGACTCCCGAGTACTTCAGATAGCATGAGCAGCCTAAATGTCATGTTTATGAGGGCAAACCTCACTTTAAAGAAAGGTAGGTTGCCTCCTTTGCTTGAAGGCGAAAACCTGATGGCAGCCAAGCTTGCTAAGCAATCGTTTTGAGCGACACGGAGCTAACCGGATTTGCGCGAGAAAGCCGGAAAACCGAGAAAACCAAGAAAACTGGAAAACAGAGAAAACCGATAAAACCGAGAAAGCCGTGAAAACAGAGGGAACCTAGAAGACCGAGAAAGCCCAAAGAACCCAGAAAATCGATGTTTGTGCGGTTTCGCGGTGTTCGCGTTTTCACGGTTTTCGCGGTTTTCGTGGTTTTCGCGGTTTTCGCGTTTTGGCGGTTTTGGGGGCTTTCGCGGTGTTCGCGTTTTCGTGGTTTTCGCAGGTGTTCGCTGCGGTTGTGTTGTTAATAATATGTTTCAATCACTTGTGTTTTGAGCCCCAGCAGTCTCAGAGATAACATAGATAGATCGATAGGTACATAGGGCAAGATAGGATAGGACACGGTAAGCTAGGCCAACGTGGGATAAGACAGGACAAGATGGGATCAGACATGATAAGATAGGATACGACGGGAAAATACAGGATAAGATAGGCTCAGATAAGATAAGGCAGGACAATTTGTGATAAGATCAGATAAGGCAGCTAGGATAGATAAGGTAGATAGCACATATATATATATATATATGTGATAGATATGATAGACAAGGTAGATAAGCCATGTAAGGTAGATCAGGTAGATAAGACAGGACAAATAGATAAGATAGACGCGATGAGATAAAGAGGACAAGCAGGAAAGATAGCGTAGATATGGTAGTTAGGAGAAAATCAGATAGATAGGGTAGATAGATGATAGATAAACAGATAGACACATAGGATAAGATAGGCTACGGTCGGATAAGATAGGATAAGGCACGGCAAGATAGGCTAACATGGGGTAAGGTAGGACAAGATGGGATAAGGCAGAGTAAGATAGCATACGGTAATATAAGATAGGTTAAGGTAGGCCAAGACAGGATAATGTAAAGGTTGGTAAGGTAGACAAGGTAGAGAAGATAAATAGGATAGACATGATAGACAAGATAGATCAGGCAGGTAAGAGATAAGATAGATCAGATAGGTAGGATAGAAACGATTCATAAGCTACATGCGATGAGATAGATAGGAAAGATGGGGCATACAGGGGAGACAGGATAGATAGGTAGATAGATTGATAGATACATAGGAAAAGATTGGGTAAGATAAGGTAAGATATGTCAAGATAGGGTAAGGCAGGATAAGGTAGGATAATATGGAGTAAGATAGGATGCGAGGGCTGCGATGGGATAAGATAGGACAAAGCAGGAAAGATAACTTAAGATAGGGTAAGACAGGTAACATATGACAAGACAAGACAAGGTAGGTAATGTCGATAAGGTAGATATGATATGATAGATAAGAGCGATAAGACTTACATATACGATGAGATAGATAGGAACGATAGGATAGATAGGATAGCTTGGTAGGCTGGTAGATTGATAGATAGGCACATAGGATGAGATAGGTTAAGATAGGGACATGCAGAATAAGACATGATAAGACAGGATAATAAGATAGAATAAGAGAGGAGAAGACGGGGTAAGATAGGATAATATAGGATTATTTTGGGTAAGGTAGGATGAGATAGGATAAGGTCGGGTAAGATAGGGTAAGATAGGATAAGATGGGGCAAGACAGGATTGACTGATACATAGATGTATAGATAGATGTATTATAGATAGATAATTCGATTTATACAAAGGATACGATAGGCTAAGATAGGATAAGACACGGCAAGATAGGCCAACATGGGATATATAGGACAAGATAGGATACTACAGGATAATATAGGATAAGATAGGACAATACAGGATACGATAGGAAAGACAGGATAAGACAGGATAATGTATAATAAGATAAGATTTGGTAGGTAAGGTAGATAAGGTAGGTAGTATAGACATGATCGACATGAGAGACAAGGCAGATAAGACACAACAGATAGACCAGATAGGTAATATGGACAACATAGATAGGCTTGATACGACAAGACAAAAAGGACAGACAGGAAAGATAGGACAGATATGATATCTCGATAGATAGCTATGTAGATAGATAGATAGACACATGGAAGAAGATAGGATACGATAGGAGAAGATGGGAGAAGGTAGGATAAGACAGGATTGGACAGCGTACGGCAGGATATGGTAGGATAATCGCAACATCGGAACGGCGCAACGGCGCGGCAGCGCAACAGCGCAGTGGTGCAACAGCAGAACGTCGCGGCAGCGCAACGGCAGAGCGCAGCAGTGCAGCGGCGCAACAGCGCAACGGCGTAACAGCGCAATGGCGCAAATGCGCCAAGGCGCGACAGCGTAACAGCGCAATGGCGCAACCAAACGGTGCAACGGCGCAGCGGCGCAGCGGTGCAGCGGCGCAGCCGCGCAACGGCGTAACAGCGCAGCGGTGCAAACGCGCAACGGCGCAACAGCACAGCGGCGCAACAGCGCAGCGGCGCAACGGCGCAGCGGCGCAACGGCGCAGCGGCGCAACAGCGCAACGGCGCAACGGCGCAGCGGTGCAGCGGCGCAAGGGCGCAGCGGCGCAAGGGCGCAGCAGCGCAACGGCGCAGCAGCGCGACGGCGCAAGAGCGCAACCGCGAACGGCGCAGCGGCGCGACGGCGCAGCGGCTCAGCGGCGCAACGGCGCAGCGGTGCAGCGACGCAACGGCGCAACAGCGGAACGGCGCAGCAGCTCAACGGCGCAGCGGCGCACGTCAACGGAGGCGGCTTCAGCGGCGCAACAGCGCAGCGGTGCAGCAGAAAAGCAGCGCAGCAGCGCAACAGCAGAGCGGCGCAAAGTCATCAGCGCAGCAGCGAGCAGCGCAGCAGCGCAACAGCGCAAAGCAGTTTAGCGACACAGATCGCCAACACGCTCGTT